CTTGTTTAAGATAATGGTTCTCCTATTTAGTAGCCCAGGTTGTTAACTAAACCACTCTGTGGACTCTAGAGAAAATTAATAAATTTTCACTATTGTGTTTTTAGCACAAAGAAAAGAGCAGTTGTAATATTAATTTAACCCCTTAAAAAAAACATTTTTTCCTATTATGGATAGTTTATCTTCCCTTGAGTCAATGTGACTGTTCTGATCTAGATGTTCTCTAAATTTCTTTAGATAAATGTCAAATGACTACTTGCTATTTGCAGAAAAAGTCACTATAACACTTTGTATAATGTTCAAACAGTGTGACAACTGAAATGACCTCACCAGAATTTTCCCCTTTTAAGTAGCTCTGATTCTTCCTCTGCTGTAGAAGAAAAAGAAAATCTCTCACTCCACTGCTCAAAAAAGCAAAGTAGTAAAGTTTTATAGTCTGTAATCGTGAGGGCGAACCTATGGCACGTGTGCCAGCGGTGGCACACAGCGCCCTCTCTGATGGCACACAAGCCATCAGCCCAGTTCAGCTCCGCTGCGCATTTACACACACACCCCACCGGCCAGCTGGTCTTCGGGTCTCTGTTGTGCATGTGCGGAGGGTGGAGCACATGGAGGCATGCACGCATGTGCGGGGGGCACATGTGCAGGGGGCACAAGCATTGCATTTTGGAGGTTCGGGTGCACGCGCATGCACATTAGGCACTCAGTCTGGAAAAGGTTAGCCATCAGTGGTCTATAAGTTAACTGTGGGAGGCCACAGAGAACTATGGAAAAGATATAAGAGGATATCCATATGCATCTCTTGGCTAGCTTGCAATGGCATCAATGCAAGAATACAACCCATTCCTCATGTGAAGCTCTCTGAAATTATCTTAATTTTTTGAATAATGACTGGGAGGGGAAGTTGCAGTGTTTTTTTCTACCTAACACTGGTGCATATGTTGTACTGAAAACCATCCCCATTGCTACCTAACAGAAATCTCACTTAATGGAATGCATGATGCTTCTAACACAAGAAAGTGGTATTGGAAAAATATTCTGTCTGTACATATTTAAAGTAGTTAGATGGAATGAAAATGGATTTCCATCTTAAAGACAAATCAGCAAGATGGAAAAATTACAACTGTTAACTGACCGCTAGATCTTTTTGCTCTGATCGTTATGGTCTCATTAAGAACACTCTAAAATATTTTTCCTTGCTGTTTCTCTAAACTATTCTGCAAACTATCAATATATAATCTGTGCTGTAAATTTCAAGATTGTTAATTCAAGGTTCTCAGATAAAAGCATTTTTAAAAGGTTTTGTTGAAATTGGAAGATATTATGAAGATATAATATATATGTAGGTCTTTGGTTATTCGGGTTTTCTCCCACGTAAAATTGGAAGTGTCTTGGCGACATTTCAACGAAGTCTCATTCAACATCTTCAGGCTGGTGTTTCTGGCTTCGTGCTTCTAGGAGCAATGTGTGATCGCAGCTGTTTCTTCCTTTTAACTGCCAGTGGGGGTGTGAACTGATTGGGTGGGAGCTTGGCTGTGTTCTGATTGGGTGGAGGTATGTTCTGATTGGTTGGGGGTTTGGCTGTGCTCTGATTGGATGGGGGGGTTGGCTGTACTCTGATTGGGTGGGGGTGTGTTCTGTTTGGGTGGGGGCTTGGTTGTGCTCGGGATAGTCTGAGTTGCAGGGGGATTTGAGCTGGTGAGCTGCATTGCTGTTGTTTGGCTTCGTGTTCGTGGTCGTGCCACATCTTCATGGTGGATGTCAGTTTGCTTCATGTATGGATTGGAGGGGTTTAAAGTGGCTAATGATGCAGCTGTGGTCTGGCTTCTGGTTTGTGGTCGTGCCTCATCGGTGTGGGTTTGCTTTTTGCGTGGATGTGTGGTGGTGACATCCTGTGTGGTTTTTGTGAGTGTGGGTCTGGTGTCATTCTTTGCGTTAGGGACTCATTTGTCAATAAGGGTGGGTTTCCAAATGGCTGGTAGGCGGGAGGTATCATCTCGTTTATTCATGCTGTGTGGGCGTTTTTCTATCTCAATGGCTTCTCTGATTATTCTGTTGTTAAAGTGTTCAGTTTTGGCGATAGTTCTGGTCTTTTTAAAGTCAATTTCATGTCCTGTGGCTTTAAGGTGTTGGACCAGGGAAGAAGTTCAGCTGTGATCACACATTGCTCCTAGAATCACGAAGCCGAAACACCAGCCTGAAGATGACGAATGAGACTTTTACGCGGGAGAAAACCCGAATACCCAAACACACACACACACACACACACACACACACACACACATATTTATGTTAATAGACATTTAGCAATTTTTCACATATACATCAAAATAGTTTTAGATTTTTTAACAAAAAATTCTCTGCTTTGGTGTGGATCAAGTTATCGACTCTTTAATAAATCCCACTGCAATCTCAGACCATACTCCCATTACTCTTATAACATTGTAAACATCATAAGCCAGCCAATTCTAGCTGGTATCTGAATATTCCTCTTCTAAGAGATTCTCTTATTATTCTAAAATATTATCTTCTTGTTATTAAAAAATATATATTCTTTTTAAAAAATAAACAAATCAAGGTTCTGCCAATACATCAGTCCTCTGGAATCCATTTAAAGCATCCTTTTGGAAATCTATTAGCGCTCTCATCTTAACAATAAAAGAGACTCAGAGGCTCTCATCTTTTACAATTGAAAAATAAGGCTTAAGATTCATTTTTGTTACATGCCAGAAACTCACAAATGAATCATATCAAGCATTTATAGCAGAAAAGCTGAAATTGGTGCTACTGCCCATGGAACAATTGAAATGTTTCCTAATATGCAGGAAATAACCAGAAATACTAGCAATCAGGAGAGAAAGATGGAAGGTTACTGGCTTATTTTTTGGAACAAACATAATATTCCTGGAATTTAGGCCAACGATGGAGATTGTTTTCATTTACCCAGAATCTATTAATTATTTATTATTTTTATGCGCACTTATGTGAATTAAAGCTGGGGTTCCCAACCCCTGGTCCTCAGCATGCCAGAAACTGGGCCGCACAAACAAGCAAAGCCCTATCTGTGGGCTGCAGGCAGCCCACGAAACCACGCTCCCTCCAGTCTGCGGAAAAAAACTCTATGGAACCAGTCCCTGGTGCCCAAAAGGTTGGGGCCCACTGAGTTAGAGACTTCTATAACTGTAAATGCAATTTTTAAATGTACAACATTCAACATTCAGCCTTCCATCCTTTCTAAGGTAGGTAAATTGAGGACCCAGTTGTGGGGGCAATAAGCTGACTTTGTATAAATATACAAAAAGAATGAAGGCTATTGCTTAGCATATTGTAAGCCGCCCTGAGTCTCCGGAGAAGGGCAGCATATAAATCAAAGCAAATATATTACTAGGTTAGGGTGGGCGTCTTCAGGCACCGTTCCAGCTCTTTGGAATAGCCTCCCACTTATATCCAAGGTCTCCCTATCCTTTGAGGCTTCTAGAAGGTCATGAAGAATTGGCTCTCCCAAGCATTGGACTAGGATGATGGTTGAGCTGGAAGGTTTTGGGTCTGGTAGCCAGGGGGAGGTGGGAGCTGGATAGTTTTGTTTTTATTCCAGTTTTTATTTATTTCTGGATCATTATATTAGATAGGCAGCCATAAATAAATACACAAATCTTCATACTTCCAAGTTCTTCCTTGTAAAAACAAACACACAGGATTTCAAAAACAGCAACAACTGGTGATCAGAGGACAAAACCACCTTTTGTTCAACCCTGAAAGACAGCACTGCAGCATCTAAATGGAGTTTATTGAAAAGAAGAAAATAGAAAAATAAGTGGAGGAGTCAAGCATACACCCAGAATTCTAAATAAAATTAATAAAATCAGGCTAATTAAATTAGTTTCAGGTTAAACCTGTTTGAGCACATTATTGTTGAGTTTCAGAATGCACACAAATTGGATGGTTTGAAAAGGGTATTTTGGGCATTTTACCAAAAAAGGACTTGCAAATTGTGGAGTTTGCTTTGCCCAGTCAGGCAAGCGTTCCACCAGCGATATCATATATCAGAAAATTACTTGATGGCTGAAGCCATTTTTCTAAGGGCAATATTATAGGCCCTGGTTACTATTTACTAGCTAAAAAGGTTTGTGTAGAAAAGCATTTGGGAATGAAAAGATGATTTCTTATCTATTCAGGGTCTCAATATGGGCCAAATTACTAAATTAATGGATTTTGTCACTGCATCCCATTTATGCTACTATTTTAAAAATGTGGGAAACTAGTGGTGAAACTACGGAGCATGTCGAAAATAACCTGAAACAAATTGTATTTTTTTTAAAAAAAATCAAAATGATTTGGAATGCCCATAGCAATCTACTACAAAACACCCAGCTATTTAGCAGTAGACTTTGATCATTTTCTGCCTCAGTTCTATATCAACAGTAATTTTTCCTGGTTTCACTCAAGAAATTCCCAGTCATGCTGGAAAGCAAGAACATTGAATCTAGAGTTTTCTGCATGCAAAATGATGCTTTACATTCCAGATTCTTTGGATTTAACGAATGTTGACATTTCACATACAGGAACCAATTAGAACTATGTATTTCCTCATTTGTCTCTAGTTGATTTTGAGTTAGCTTTCACTAAGCACAGATGCCTTTATGCTGAAAAGTACAGATGCCTCTCAACAAGATTCACTTTGCCAGGTTTTGACAGAACGATCAATAGAAGCATTTTTCCCCATTTCCTTATCTCTTTACAGCCTTTTCACCTTCAAGGACTCTCACTAGGTTAAGAGTTCTTTTCCTGTTTACAGTACATGCCATTTTATTACCCAGTGGATGTTTTCCCTTTAAAGCTCAGAGAGATGCCCGTCTTATTTTGGAGTGTCTTTTCATCCTGTTTTCAAAGTTCTTGTCTTATTGGGAGTGATTATTTTCAAATATTTTCAGCAGCTCATGAATTAATATTTTGTAAAAATGATGTGACTGCCCCTTCAACAATTTTTCTGTTCTACCCAATAGGTTTCTCTTGCTGAAGGAGTTTTAGCACATTTTACTTTTAAGATGTATGGCAAACCTTAACAGATCTGCATGAATAATGATCTAACAAGAGGAAGCCACTAAATCAGTGGTGGGTTGCCCCTGGTTCGCACAGGTTCTATAGAACCAGTAGTAAAACCGACAGGAGGCTCCGCCCACCGACCCCGACATCATCAGAATGTGCATGTGTTCTGTGCATGCACAGAAGAGCATGTGCAAGCGAAGCAAGCACGCGCACGCGGCCCCGTTGCAAACCAGTAGTAAAGGTAAGTAGAACCCACCCCTGCACTAAATGTATATAACATTAAAAGATAATTGGATAATAAAGCCAGCAAGAAATTTTTTGGAGCATGACTGGTCATGACAACAGTTATACTACTGTGGAAGGAATGTCTACTATCTATATTACAAAATACCTTAGGGAATCTGTGGTTGACTTTACATATCACATTTAGCCATAAAAAGATCTGGCTTTGTATGTGAATCCAGCCACGGCAGTATATATACAAGATTTACAGCTCACCATGTGTAAACCTAATCAATTGTGCTTCATTCAAGAAACCATTATTAAATAAACCACTGCTTAATATAATGTGACAAAGCTTCCATCTGCTCCATTTATAGTTATTATATCATTGAGAACTTCAGCATTTCCCAGCCTGGGTACAAGTGTTCAGGAGCCAAAACAAGAAAACTATGATTATTAGCTGCAATTCAGCAAACTTTTCAATGAAAGACAATAAGCTCACAGTTTAATACTGCCACTGAAGTTAATCAGATTGTTTTGTGTTGTTTTTATTAGATGATGATTACAACTGCCACCCAGATAACTATTTAAATGTCCCTGATATTCAAGTCATGCATCTTGACCTATTTCAAAGTAATCTCTTCAGTCTCAAAAAACCAACATTCCACCATCAATGCCATAACAATAACAGTAATTCTGGTCTTCCATTCACGTACTTTAAGAAAATTCAGCAAATTTCTTCAGTGAATAGATTTAAATGGGGTATTTTTCCTACTTTCCCGTGCCCTATTTTATCACTTTATTTAAAATGTTTTTATATAACTAATCAAGTTAATGCTCCAGATTTTTATAGGATAATTCCAAATCAAAGCAAGCAAAAAGATAAGCCAACTGAGTCATTTGATTTTATAATCTTGGGTATTATTTACAATATATTTTCACATTTAAGTTAGTTACATCAATTGTTCTTTAATGGCAAAGATCGTTATACCAAAATAAGTGAATAGTACTATTTGTGCTTTCAGAAATAATTTAGTGTAGCAAAAGGTGCCCAATCTGTCAGAGCCACAGCCATCTCCACATCTTGGATTCTCCCATTCAAAAATAGCTGCCAATTACACTTTTTAATGTTACAGAAATAAACTGATGTTACATTGTTTACACTGAATATAAATCCTTGCCCTGTCTGTTCTTGGCTCTACCCATTGGCTACTCATTGGCTTTACTAACGAGGCCTCTGGATTGTTGAAATGTGGCTATTGAATGAACAAAGTTATGAATTGCTGGCCAAGGACATTCTCAAAGACACTGCCTCACAGCATTGTTTGTACAAATTATGAAGACTTTCCTGTGATTAAAAAGATATTCAGCCATGTCCAGTTCACTGCTCTGAACAATCTGCTAACAATAGGGTGAAGTTATAAACCTCTCAACTGATCTCATTCAGATCTCCTTGAAGTCAACACACCCAGCTGAACAAATAAAATCAGACCAGTTATACATGACAAAACGCTAATACCTCTCCCTCTAGGTTCTGAATATTGAGAGAAGGGGGGAATTAGTAATATCAATTGAGAGTCACCAGGAAATGGAAAAGTCATGAATGTTGTCTTATAATGTGTGACAGTATGTGCATATTGCAACTTTCAGTGAGTATAAATTGGCACAGCTGCGTGACTTGCTATGGGCCAGCCAAGAATGAATGACATTATGATTGTGCTGTCAACTGCCAAATATTCTTTCCCATTTCTAATAATTACAAGTTGACTTCCTGATTGAATTTCTCCCACCAATAAAGATACTTCTGAACTCTTAAGAAAAAAGCCCCACCTCTACACATTATTAAACTGAGCAATGTCTTTTTAAAAAGGTTCTTGAAGACATATTAACATCTGCATTCAACCCCTGGGCACACTCATCCATTGGCATCGGTGGTATTCAGCCGGTTCTATCCGGCTCGGGCAAACTGGTAGCAGCGGCTGCAGGAGGCTCCACCAACCCACCCGGATGTCATCACGTCCTTTTTTTGATTATTTGCGCATGCGCGGAAGTCCCTGCACACACGCACACTCACATTTGTGAACCGGTAGCGAAAATAAATGAATACCACCTGATTGGCATGATATGCTGATGATAACCAACCTTATATTTGGTTGTCCCATGTCAACCAAATGACGTTGCCGGACGCTTTCCCATTGTCTGGAGACTGTGGGGGCAAGGCTGGGAGAGAACAGGCTTCAGCTCAATTGTAACAGGACCAATTGGCTGTGGGGGAACTGGTTCCCCCTGGATCCAGACATTTTTTTGTTTTTAGTTTAAGTGCTAAAGTTTTAGCACTTACCCAGACAGAGCTGGTGTTCAGTTGGTGGGAAGAGGGAGAGGGCATCCTCTTGACTCAACTCCTGCTCAGAAAGCAGATGGCAGCTGCTGTCAGGAGAGCCTTTGCACAGGTTCCATTTGTGAGCCAATTGTGCCATTTTCTGTATTAGAAAAACCCTATTCTTAATAACACTTGCATTAATCATTTCCTGTATGGATTACTTTACCCTACATGAAGGTGTTTTTGAAGAGTGTTCAGAAGCTATGACATGACCAGAATGCAGTGGCATGGACAGTTCTGGGCATTTAACGATCTGGAAAGTGCAATTTATCATACAGATAGCCCTTGACTATTCTGAAGTCTACATACAGGGTTGTATTCTACATATGAACTGGTGTACAAGTATGTGTGAGGCCTTATACTTCTGGTACATTGAGAATTAATTGTATAAAATTTAATACTGGGAGCTCTCAATTTGCAATCACAACTGGGATTGGAATGTCCATCGCTAAGTGTTGCAGTCATTAAGTGAGTCGCATCCTATTTTACAACCTTTTCTGCTGTGGTTCTTAAACAAATCTTTGTAAATCAAACAGATATTTGCTAAATGAAACATTTGTTAAGTGAGCTTTGCCCCATTTTATAACCTTTCTTGCCACAGTTGTTACGTGAATCATTACAGTTGCTAAGTTAATAATGTTAAGTGAATCTGGCTTCCGCATTGACTTTGCTTGTTGCCTGAAGTTCTTTCTGTTCATATAATTACCTAAACAATACTCTACATTTTAATGGAACCCTAGAAATTTTGCAGCACAAAAACCTGGCCACATGGTGCTTTACTCTTTCATGAACTATGTGCAGTTTCAAGTACATAGGCCCAAGGTCCTCATATAGAAAACTATAGCCTGATGGTATCTCATAATAGTTTCCACAGCTTATCCAAAAGCAATATGCACTTTCTAGTTTTTTAAAGTACTCAGTACTGAGATAGCAAAAAGTCACTTGGTAGATATAGTCAGATTGAGCTGGAATAAAAAAAAACTATTAACAGCAAGGTGTATTGGCTCATTTTTCAGTGGTGATCAGGGATGAAATGCTACCGGTTCAGACCAGTTCACCCGAACCGGTAGAAAAAATGCTATAGGTTTGGGCGAACAGGTATTTCCAATGATCAGCTGTGCGACGATCAGCTGTGCCGCACAATTTATATTCTCCAGAAAGCAGGAAATCCTGTTTTCTAGGAAATCTAAATTGCACGGCACAGCTGTTTCCCCCCTGCTGTTCTACTTACCTTTGCAGACTCAGAAAAGACTTCTTAATCCTCCTTTTTCAGTGCTGCGCAGTAGCGCCTGCGGTGCGCCTGCATGCAAAGCGTGTGTTTGGTGAGCACCATGCATGCGCGCGCGAAGCAGACCAGTAACGAAGCGAACCAGTAGCAGACTTCAGAGCATTTCACCCCTGATGGTGATGCATTCACCTTTGGGAGACCTGAAAGAACAGGTTTGGGACTGATCTTCACAGAGAAAATCTATGTGGTTGCTAGAAGTTGAAAATGACGTGATGGCACATAATCAAATCAAATTTTTAAAAAATCAACCGTAGGAAAAATAAATAATACCTGTGAATGAATGTATAGAAAGCTAGAACTGCAGCAGCACTACAAAACTGAGAGGTTCTCTTTACAAAACAACTTAGAAGCCACAAATTGTTGGTAAGGTAAAACACCTGAAATCATAGAATCAAAACTAGGAGATTATTATTATTATTTATTGAATTTATATACCGCCCTACTCCTAAAGGACTCAGGGTGGTGAACAGCCAAAAGATAAAATACATATAATACAAATGTTAAAAAACCAATTTAAAATACAATTAAATAATTTGGCCCAGAAAACAAATTTAAAACACCCCAATTTATAAGACAAATTTAAAATTTAAAAAACAGTTTAAAAGAAAAGTTAGGCCAGGCCAGCCTGCTGAAATAGGAATGTTTTGAGGGCACGGCAGAAAGTGCGCAGATCCGGGATCCTCCGTATCTCCGTGGGGAGCTCGTTCCAGATTGCGGGTGCCCCCACAGAGAAGGCTCTCCCCCTGGGGGCCGCCAGTCGACACTGTTTGACCGACAGCACCCTGAGAAGCCCCTCTCTATGGGAGCGTACTGATCAGTGAGAGGCTACTGGTGGCAGAAGGTGGTCTCGTAAATACCCCGGTCCTAAGCCATGGAGCGCTCTAAAGGTGGTAACCAAAACCTTGAAGCGCACCCAGAAGACCACCGGGAGCCAGTGCAGCTCGCGCAGGAGGGGGGTCACATGGGAGCACGTCGCTCCCATAACCACCCGCATGGCCGCATTCTGGACCAGCTGGAGCCTCTGGGTGCTCCTCAAGGGGAGCCCCATATAGAGAGCATTGCAGTAGTCCAGCCGGGAAGTGATGAGGGCATGAGTGACCGTATTTAATGAGTCCCAATCCAAAAAGGGATACAACTGGTGAATCAGGCGAACCTGATAAAAAGCCCTTCCAGCCACAGCCGTCATTATTAGAGATAATCTAACCTAGTGCTGCCTGAGTACATAACATTCCAAGTTAATGCATATGGGTGCTAGTTTCTGCTCAAAGACATGCAGATAGCCTAAGACTTTCACTTCAGTTGCTTTGGGATCCTATGAGGTATCTACTACTGTTCAATCATAATCTATCTTCTCAGGAGATGTAATCTTTGCTTCTAAAGAAGCAGCAAACCCTCCCAAGTTTTCCTGTATGTTGTAGTCTTTTATCTTTCTTCTTTTTTTTTTGCCTCAGTTAAACATATCCAGGACCCTCTTTTATCTTATTGAAGACCCTTTTTATCTTATTTTGCCTAGGATAAACATATCCAGGATGAGGTTTTTTAGCCTTCCACGCTTTGTTGTTCATACACTTTCATTCCCCTTGTAAGCACCAATTCCAACTCTTCAGATCTTTTTTTAAATGACTGCAGTTAGAAATTGATACAACACTCAAGATGAGTTCTGCAACATTTTATGGAACAGTAGCTATTCCTGCAAATTCTTTCATGTGATCAGACTGACAATATACAGAACATTGGCAGGACTGTGTTTTAAGTCTGATATACTGATATATTTACACAATATGTTGGGAATCATGTTATGTCAATAGTCTTGAAACCATGTTTGATGAGTAATATAAATATACATTTTATTAAATGAATATATCTGTAAATGAGACACAAGTAAGATCAAGGTGAAACAAGTCTTCACATTCACACTAAGTTGGGATGTTACTCTGGGTCATTTCCAGTTTGGTTTGCATTCAGCACACTTCCGGTTCATCCCTATATTGAGATCAGAGCAAGCACATAACTCAAGTCAGTTCAGCTAGCAAAGCTACAGCTTAATATTTACTTATTAAACATCAACAGAAAGAAAAATAAATAAAAGAAAAAGCAAAACAGTTAACTGGTAAAAACAGGATTAAAAGTAAGCAAAAGTAGAGATAGTGAAAGATATAAGAAGGGAAAAAATATACTGCTGAAAAAAATAAAGGGAACACAAGCAGAAGACATCCGAGATCTGAATGAATGAAATAGCCTTATTAAATACTTTGTTCTTTACATACAGTAGTTTATACACTGCTCAAACAACTAAAGGGAACACAAAACTACTGTATGTAATGAACAAAGTATTTAATAAGGCTATTTCATTCATTCAGATCTCGGATGTCTTCTGCTTGTGTTTCCTTTATTTTTTTGAGCAGTGTATATTTTCTATATCTATCATAGGGTTGGGGTTGATTTCCTTCTCTAATTCACCTAGTGGGATTGATGGTATCACACTTTGCAAATTATATCTTCTCTATTTCTCTTATTTGTTTCCATTTAGGTAAACCTCTGGAAATGTTACATCAGTGCTTAGTCACAGCAATAATGAGTGATGAACTCAGTCCAAGCAGTGGAGATAGGTCATTGGTGTACCCAAATTCCTGATGCCAAATGGGTTTTTTTTTTTAATTTGATTTATATGCCGCCCTTCTCCGGAGACTCAGGGCGGCCTACAGTGCGTTAAGCAATAGCCTTCATACTTTTGTATATTTATACAAAGTCAGCTTATTGCCCCCACAAACTGGGTCCTCAATTTACCTACCTTAGAAAGGATGGAAGGCTGAGTCAACCTTGAGCCTGGCAAGATTCGAACTTACTTTAATTGCAGACAGCTGGTGTTAAATTACAGTGCTCTGTCTGTTGAGCTATCCAGGCTCCTCTATCTCAGGGGTGCATATCCAGATTGCTTTATCTCTAGTGGTGTTCCTTGACTCTTAACTAATGCCTTTTTAATAAGGAATTAATATGATTCCACAAATGGTATTAAACATACCTAAAGCTATCATGGTTTATGCAAATCCTTCTGGGGAAATTGTGGTTTATTTTTTTGATAAGAAACCACACTTGAAACTGTGGTTGTTGGATTTCCAAACCTAACTAGATTTAGGTAAGGCATATTGCTTTATATGCACACCCAGATAATAAAAACCTTGTTTGCAGGCATTCTTCGGTACAGTATATATTCTTAGCAAGCTCTGCTTTTTTGCAGTATGAAGTGCAAAGGATAAATTTAAGTTTCTTTTACAGATTTTACATTTTATAGTACAGATAATGGATGCCAAAGGATATAGCATTTTTAAAAAACATACAAGAATTGTTTCCTGATAACCAGACAGGAAACCAGGTAGTTCCACTTTCACATGTGACTGAAAATGACAGGAAAAACTGGTCTTTATTAAAACTCTATGCCACTGCCTCAGGAATTTCTCTGAATAGTTGTTACTGTGATGCATGGAAATTAACAAGAACAAGCAATAAAATCATAAAATGCATTTTGAGCATAATATTCTTTATTTATAATGTTTGCATTGTGTCTGCCATTGTTTATGCCACTAACTTGCACCAGCTCCCACACAATACATATTTTGCTGGCTTGGAAAAAAGTCCAAGATTTGCGAAAGTACAAAAACAGAACAAAGGAAAAAAATGGGAAAAAATAATTTATCGATGCCACAAGATGTGCTGTTCAGGGGTGGGTTCTAAAATTTTTTACTACTGGTTCTGTGGGCATGGCTTATTCTGTGGGTGTGGCTTGATGGTCATGTGACAATTATTTAGGATTTAGCAGACGTACTGGTCTACCAGGCTTTTAACTGCTTGCAGAGCTGTACCGATCTACTCATGTATTTTTGCAGGCACTGATCTACTCATGTATTTTTGCAGGCACTGGTCTACTCATTTGTTTTCTTTTAACACTGATCAGCTGTAGGGCGGCCCTTTGAAGCCCCCTGGCAAGAATTTAAACAGTTTTTTTCCCTCTAGCCATCAGCTGGGACTCAGGACGCAGCAATAGATTGGGGGTGGGGCCAAATAAAAAGTAAGAATAATGCAGGGGGTGGGGGCGGGGGGGGCAGAACCGGTTCGGTGACATCATTCGTCACCGCTACTGGCTCGGCGGAACCGGGAGGAACCCACCACTGGTGCTGTTGTGTGAGAGAGAGAAACTGGGAGGAAAATGAAATGTAATCTTCTCTTTCTCATCCTCTCCTTGTCTTTTAAAGAGGCTGGGATAATATTTTGTTGAGAACTCACTGAGGTTATAAAGTAACATTTTATTGGACGTCTATTTGAACAAGTATATTTTTTAAAACAACAACAACACAGAACGTGGATTCAATTTGAAATTGC